CCTCTGCCTCTCTCTCTCTCTCTCTCTGACTCTCATGAATAAATAAATAAAACATTAAAAAAAAAAAAGAAGTCTACAAAGGATTTTCTCTGAATATAATAAGAAAATGTATATATAATTATTGCTTAAGCAATTCAATGTAAATGAGAGAAATATGAGATTCATGAAAGTATCTGTTAAATGTACAATTGCATGCATAATTTTTTTTCATTTCTGTGGTTATATTCCTTAGTGTTTGGTACATAACAAACTATCCAAAATTTTAGCAACTCGAAAAAATAAGTAGTTATTATTGCTTATGTGACTATGAGTCAGCTAAAAATCTCTAGTCTTGGCTCTTGCATGTTTCTGTGGTTGACTGTGAGTCAGATAAGCACTTTTGGTGACTTCTCAAACATCCAGGGCCTCAGATGGGACAATTAGTCTCTCCTCTGTGTGAGCTCTCATCATTCAGCAGGCTCTTCTGGGCTTGTTATTTCCACTGGAAAAGTTCTGAGAGAAAGTGGAAATATGCAAAGCTTTTTGAGCCCTGGTTCCAGTACTAACATATTTTTCATTTTGTGGAAACTACTCATCAAGCCCAGCATAGATTTAAGCGGTAAGGAACTAAACATTCTTACTGGGAGATGCTGTGGGCCAATTGCAAAAGGTCTGAGTACAGGGAAGAGTTAAGAATTATGACCCTTTTTACAATTTCTGTCATGGTTTTGAAAGATGTGATTTTTCCTTGTCTCTATTATCCTAAGCTGACTGATAAATCAGCTCATTGCCTTGGCACAGTAATCTTATAAAATGTATTTTGAAATGCAAGCCAAGAAAACATCACTGTGTCACTTATTATGTTTCTGTAAATATTATGAAAATAATTAATTAATAATTATTTTGGCATTCTTGAAGCAAAACCCTAAAATGTCATTAATAATATTCCTACCCCCTGTAGTGTGGAATGCTTGTTACTAGCCTGCAACATGAAGGTAAATCCTGACCCCTGTGGTTATAACACACTGCAGTATGCATGCTTTTAACTGCCCTTGACAAGTTTAATTTGAGGTTGTCATTCTACTGCAACATACTTTATTTTGTAACAAAAGACTCATGTTTGGAGGACACAGAATGTCTTTTGTTAACTATAATAGAGTGCTTGAGTGAGTTTGGGCAAGAAGAAAGCTTACTGCAGTTCTGCTGAGATCAGTTGCAACAGAGCTTGATTTTTTTGTTTTGTTTTGTTTTCTTTTTTTCTTTTCGTAACATCAAAGCTGATAGAATTTTCCAAATAGTGACAAACATTCCATTTTGAAAGCTCTGACTTGTGAAATTCTTATTGTTCATAAAACGGAAAAAAAAGTTGTGTTGAAAACACATCAAAATTTACTTTCCAGTTGAATAATGATGCTTTGTCTTACAAGTCTATGAAGAAACCCTATGTTGAAACCCAAGTAGGATTTGGATAATGCTGTGCCTTATTAAGTAATGATTGTTTAAAATGTCTATATGGATGAATAATGTTCCAAAATACTTTAGATTTCATTTATTTAATTTTCTTTCTTTAACTTTTCAACACTTATGCCTGAATTTGTTTTCTTCAATGGTATTTGTGGTACAGTGTTTTCGGTGAATAACAATTTATGAAAACCCAGCATAGGGCATACAAGCAATATGAATATATCTGTATTAAATGACATACCTTGAATAACTGAAGTCAGGAATGTGTTTGTAAAGTCATGAGTATTCTCTTAAATTTTTCATTTAAAAATTTTCTATTCAATTCCTAAATCAAAAAATAGAGTTGGATTTCTGGTTCTAAAGAAACTGGAGTAGCATAAGTTTTGCCCATTTCTTACACAAGTACAGTTTAAGATCCTAGACACTATATATAAAACATGCATATTATGACCTGGAAAGGCAGAGATAGAAAGGCAGACCAGTCAGTGAACTTAGAACCTGAGGAAAGACGTGGTAACCAGGTCCCTAGAATTTCTTTTTTTGCCTTGTATTTCCCAGTTGGCAGAAACTTTGAATCCTTCCCTTCTTGGATTTTCTTCAGCAATAAATTATTCTACTTACCTTCTTTAGGTATTGACTTAAAAGCATTAGCAAATTCGGGTTTTTTTTTTTTTGTTTGGTTTTTAATTTTTATTTGGCTTCTTTGTTTCACTCATGGTGTTACATTATGAAGTCTTTGTGGTGACACCAACTACTGTTTAAAAGTAAACATCAACGGGTGGTTGTGGAATTGAAGCTGGTATGTGAAGTAAAGACATAAACTGAGACATTTAGCCATCGGGTTTCCTTTTCCTTTTTCACTTGTACTTGCTACTGCTTGCCCCTGGGGATGTAAGAATTGTTGCTTAAGGCGATACCGGTTCCCCTCCATAACCACAGGAATCAGGTGTGGAGCTGCCAGAGTGATAACAGCACATTGTTCCCTAAGCAGTGTTCCTACTCTTACACCTCAATAGGGACCTGTGGAACAAGGACATGTTTCATTTATTTGTTTTTAATTGGAGAGGTTTGCTGTATATTTATTATTTCTGAAATAAAGCCCATGGAATACATCTACAGGAAAAAAGAAATGCAGAAAATGGGATCAGCTTAAATAATTAGTTCATGGAAAACAACTAAATAAACAACAAAAGCTTAAATTTTATGTACCTTGAGATACAATATTGAGAATTGTACTGCAATTGATATTATTCTCACTGAATACATAATTCTGAATCATCAAATTTATGAATTAAAAAATAACCCTCGTCACAGGCAGGGTTTCCCAAGGCTGCAGTCATGTGTCAGCTGGGCTATGTTCTGACCCTGAGCTCAGGGTCTTTTTCCAAATCCATATAAGTCATTGACAGAATCCAGTTTTTTGTGTTTGTGGGACTGATTTCCCTATTTTTATGTTGCATCAGCCAGTGACTGCTCTGAGCTCCTACTAGCAGCCTTCTGAAGGTCTTAGGTATATGGTCTTCCCCAACAAGGCAGCTTAATTCTTCAAAGGAGGAGAATCTTTCCCAGTTTGAATCTCTGACCCTTTGTAAGACCTCCCCTCCCTTGGCCAAATCCGGCTACCTTAGGATAATCTCCCTCAAATTAGTTGACTCAAAATTAACTGATTTTGCAAAATCCCTTTGTGTTTGTCATCTAATGGAAACCCATCACAGAAGTGAAATACATCATAGTCACAAGCTCAACCCACAATCAAGACATCAGAGGGGAAAGGATCATACAGTGTATATACCAGGGTGTGGGAATCTAGGAGCCAGTCCAGAATTATTCCTACCATAGTCCAGAAGCTTATATTCTACTTTAGGGTTCTCAACATGGCTAAGGTTCAGATTTCTCTGTGGATCTTATTAAAAAGTCATATATTATTAATCATAGGCCTCTGTATAGATCTGAATTGGCTGTATCTGTTGAATCATATATATATCTTTGATGAGCTATGCAAGTAATTTCTCTGCAGCCAGCTGTATGCATCTGGAACTTCTCCTGATAACCACTGTTCTATTAAATACAACATTTCACTTGCTTATCATTTTAATAAAGTGTTAGAGCATTTTGAAAACTACGATTGAGTTCATGGGAGGACAAATAACATAAATGGGATCATTAAAAATGAAGTGGCAAAGGCAGAAACATCATTCTAGCCTTTGGAATTAGCAATCTGTTAACAGGCTTTGATGTATAGAGGCTAACCCCCTCTCCTCAGTATAAAAGTGAGTTAATAGCTATGTCTCATTAAAAATAATGGCATCAAATCAAAGACTGTTCGTCACAAGGAGTGCTTTTAAATGATATCAATAATTTAAACTTGGAGTCTAATTCTAAAGGCTGTGGTATTGGCAGCTTATATCTAAATGCTGACTACTGACAGATACTATTTTGGGCAGATTACCAAATAGGCTTTTGTACTTTTTTTATAAGTCAATTTCCCCAAAATGTGTTCTGCAGAACTCAATCTTATGATATTAGCCATTTGGGAAATACTCATGATGTTATTTTTCCCCTTGGTGATTCACAAGGTTTTGAGTTACTCCTAGAAATTCACAAAGAAATGTGTTAAAAATGTATATGATATAAACATAAATGGGATGCATGTCTTCCTTATGGATAAAGTGAATAAATTTCAGTGTATAGATTTTATTGCCTCTATTTTGAATGCTCATAGGACTTTTAATTTTGCTTTCTGCATCTAGACTATTCTCCAGAATGTTAAGATTGCCAGAGAAGTGACCTCTGAAAAAGGAAAACATTGCTCTACCTAAATTCAGGTAAGACCATTACTTTTCAAAAAGTCATTGTGGGTAAATTAATGAAAAAAATATTCATTTTTCTACATTTCTATTATAAGTTGTTTTCTTCAATATTAAGCTTTATGAAGCCTCTTTCCTCTAGAACAATATAAGAAATTTTTTTTAATTTCCTGGTGTGGGGTGGGGGGCAACACTCCGAACACATGTTAATGTTCAATAGTTAGACTTCATTTGGACATAGCTTTCCACCATATTTATTTAAACAACTGTATTAAATTCATATTGTTCCTTTAATGAGCATCATTCAGAGGAAAGAGCAATATAAAGTTTCTGAAGCTTACGTGATTAGGTGAGGGGTCCATGACTCCTGATCAAGGTGGGAACTGGTGTCACACACTTTTGTGAGCTCTGCCGGCCCAGAGAAAGGGTAAATCCCAGAGAAAGGGTAAATATGTGCCCGTACAAGGGGGGGTCTTGGCTAAGTGTTCTAAAATGCTTCACAATATTAGAGCCTAGGGAATGATCACAGTCTCTGTTGTTTATTCAGAACAAGGTTGAGAACGGGTAATGAAAATTAGTAAAGTAAATCGAATATGCCTTCAGAAAGGGAGCTCATGAATCAGTAGAGGCAAAGCAGGTGCAAAATGAGTAGAAGTCTTTGACTTTGGCTCTAGGACAAATATTACTTTTGGAAGGACTCATACTCTATTTACTAGGAAAAGCAGAATCTGGTCACTAAAGTCTAGGATTGAAGTTACTAAATCTATTTTCCTAATAAATTTTCACAGTATTTTTGAGTTCTTATTTCCTCTCATGCAAGGACTTATATTATGGTTTTAGTGAGACTAATGAAACTCATTGTCATCTTTTATGTTTAAAGGAACATTAACACTTAAAAGTGTGTTGTGTACATATTGTTGTATTAAATTATATTTAAATGCAGTATTAAAATGTCAGGAATTCTTGAGTATATATCTGTGTTTTATGAAAATCATAGAGTTCTGGGACTAAATGCATCCACACAGATGGCCTATTAGCGGATTTCCCAGACTGTGTTCTCGAGGAGTATGGCAAAGTTCAGAGTCACTTAAGATAATAAACAACTAGATCTGAAGTTGTTCTGGTTACTCAATATTCTAAATTATTTAATAATAAATATTTAGAATGGAACCCACATAATGCCATATTAATCACAATAGAACTCAGATAGAGACAGATTGCTAATAGATTCATTCTTCCTTCCTCACTGAATCCTGATCCCTAACCACCTGAATGCATGTAGTTTTTGGCCTCAGTTAAAACACAAATCATTCTCATCATTTGAATAAACCTAGAAAATTCTAAAACACATTTTCCAAGGAATCAAAAGGAACACATCCCAGTGCATCAGAAAATTATATCCAAGGTTTTCAAATGATTTTTTATCACTAGACTGTTTTCATAGTTAGACCTTTTCTCCAAATAAAATATCAGAGAGAAGCCCAAAAGATAAAAGAGAGGGGTAAAAAAATATATATATATTGAAACAGGAGTGGGTGTTCCAGAACTACTTGGTTTCTTTACCTCTGCTTTTCCTTACCTCTGAATCCATTCCTCATTCCCCAAAACCCTACAGATCTGACAGACATTAATATTTCCTGGAAGCCTGTGATTCTTTTGCTTCTCAGTTCTTTCCTTTGAAGCCCATGTGGAAGCATTAACTCAAACAGAGACAGACAGCGAAACATAAAAGTGGGAATTGCCAGGATTATGTTGTGCTAGCCAGAGATGGAAAAGTGACTGCTGTGCGAAAGAGATCATTTATTACCTACTTAGGTTTCCCAGTGTCAGGTGTTGCCCTGTATGTGTTCACTTCACCATTGTGCAAAGCTCCCTCTACATGATTTCGAAGTATCATACCCTATACATGTTGTTGGAAGCCCAAGAGAGGTACCTATAAATGAAAACAGGGAGAAAGGCAGTCACAAGGAGAATAATGGAAATTCATTTGAGGGTGGCTATTACCTCACAACGAATAGTTAATACTTTATTTAAAAAAATATCTCTAGATGCATTTCAAACATTTCTCTTCATCTTAGGTATAGATCTTTGCCTCCTACGTTTGTTTGTTTTAGTTTAACACACCTTATTGATAAGCAACATGTCTGAATTGATAATGCTTTTTTTTGGAAGATTTTATTTATTTATTTGAGAGAAAGGGGGTGGAGCGACCACGAGCTGGGGGGAGTGGCAGGCAGAGGGAGAAGCACATTCCCCATTGAGCAGACAGCAGGACTTGAGACCTTGATCCCAGGACCCTGGGATCGTGACCTGAGCTGAAGGCAGATGCCCAACCGACTGAGCCACCCAGGTGCCCCTGAACTGATACTGTTTTGAGACAGGTTGAATAAAGAAGAGAAATACTAAACATGGTCTAATAACACATAGCCTACCCACATTGCATATTTTCTGATACTTTGTACATATGAAATATTTCAAAACTACATGTCTCAGCATATACTGTACTGAATTCCTTACAGTTTCTGACCTGACCTGTAGAATTTTACTTGTGCCTCCAATGTTTTATTCATGCTTATATTTGTCCACATTTAAAGCTAAACTGGCTTCATGTTTGAATGGAAAATAGCCCATGAGCAAAAGCAAACTGGATGTCCACTGGGTGAGCAGCTGTCCCAGCCTGCTCACCTGTCCCTAATTTCTGCTGGCTGCCCTCTCTACTTGGCTAAAGGAATTTTCCTGGGCTTTTTCTTATTGTCAGAACAAGATTACTCTAATATAAATACTTAATATTTGAATGTGTAGAATTTTTTTCTATTACTGCTTCTCCCTGGTTTGAGGATGTTTGAGGCATCTGACATTGTACTTTGATTGGTCTTCCTGTGGTCTGTTCCTTTTTGTTACACACTGCATCTGCGACTGGGGTGCAACTTCTATAGGCCCATTTGCCACTAGGATTGTTATTCAAATTCCCAGTCCTTTCAGGCATGTTTGTGATTTTAGTCATTGGCTTCAATGGTAAAACATCTGTATTTTTGGTTTTGTTGGCTCTGTGTCTGTCCTGAGTAAAGGAACACAATTATCAAACGTGAAGAAGCTTAGCCTTGAGCACAAAACTGGCTTTATATTCTAAGCAACTTTCTTAATGTTTTCTGACTGAGTCCCACTCCCCATCTACCTTGTTTACAGCAATTTGACTGAAGAAGTTGCCTGTGGGAGGTGTAGCTCCTGGTCATGGTGCAAAGAGCAATGCTGTTCCCTGCTGACTTGTTTTGGTTTTTGCTTATTTTCTGTTTCTCTTTGTGACCCCAGGATCTACCGTCATGCCAATGTGAATAAGGTCCCAATAAATAAATTTTTTATATTTTTTTATTTTATTTTATTTTATTATGTTATGTTAATCACCATACATACATCATTAGTTTTTGATGTAGTGTTCCATGATTCATTGTTTGCATATAACACTCAGTGTTCCATTCAATACGTGCCTTCTTTAATACCCATCACCAATAAATATTTCAAAAAAAATTAATAGGTTGATAAAAATATTTTTGGAGCTGCATTCTGTGCATTTTATTTATTCATTTTAGAGAGAGAGTGTGCACAAGTGGGGGGAGGGACGTGGGAGAGAGAGAGAGAGAGAGAACCTCAAGCAGACTCCCTGTTGAGCACAAAACCCACTGCAGAGTTCAATCTTATGACCCTGAGATCATGACCTGAGCCAAAATCAAGAGTTGGTCACTTAACCGACTGAGCCACCCAGGTGCCTCTGAATTCTATGTGTTGTAGACATTCTCTCATAGTTGAAAAAAGACTGGCTACATTATATACATATATATATATATTCCTCTGATTATATATATATATAATACTGATTACTCTGATTACTCTCCTTTCTATTTCCTACTCAGTATGTGTAGATTTCTGGTAGCTCTTGGTATTGTTTTCCATCATGGACAGATTAATGTAGGTTGCTTTAATCTTGATAATTCCATTCTGTCTCCCTCTATTCTGGAAAATTCAATGAAGAGAAGATTGGATAATTCTGGCTGGATGAAGACTATTGGCAGCCTCTCAGGGCTCAAAGTATATTCATGTATCTGTGTCTGGCTGTGAAGAAGATTCACAAAATCCTTAGGTTACTGTCAGATACCTTTGGTGATAAAGGAAACAACAAAAAGTTCTAAAGAAATATCATAAATATTATCACTTTAAATGTTGGACATTGTATCAAAGCTACAGAGCCAAATTGGAGAAATCTTGGAGTATGGGAACTAAAATGATGGAGGGATACATTGCCCGCTTGGGAGAATGGACCTAGTTGATACACTGTCCACATCCTCTCAGTCCTGCCCAGTTTTCCAACTTTAGCTGCTTTCATTGCTTTTAGGCTGGAATATTCCTGGGGATCACTCATACCATTCCCATGCATATAAAACCTCTGTTGCAGTCAGTACCTTATTTCCTGCCATCCCTGACAGTCTCTCCTGATGCTGCACATAAGCACCTGTCTTTAGCATAGCCTCTCTTTTTTCCCACAGAGGCAGAGCTGTAGCAGTTAGAGGGCCTGATTCAACCCAGCTGGACCCATGGAGTCTCTGGTTTCCTAGACTCTGCTCAGAGATACTGGTTGTGCCAAGCAGAAGTACAAGGGATTACAGGTTCACTAAGCAAACTTTGATCAATGAAACAGGATCAGGGATGACTTTGTGGGAGGGAGAAGTATGCACTCAGAGAGGGCCCTGCACACAGAGGAGCCCCACATTTGATTTGATTTGCATTAAGTTTCACTCTTTGTGTGCTGAAGTTCTATAGGTTTTTTTCAAAAATATAGTGTCATGTACCTATTAGAATATCATGCAGAGGAGTTTCAGCACGCAACAATATTCCCTGTGCTTGGCCTTTTTAGCCCTCCTCCTTTCCTTCTAAACTCCTGGAAACCGCTTTTTGTTTCATTTTGAATCATCAGTATAGTTTTGCCTTTTCCCAAATGTAATGTAACAGGAATCATACAGTGTGTA